AGAAGCATAGATCAATAACCAGACAAGAAGAGAGAATCTATATTAACCTTAGGAACCAAGAAACAACCTCTATCTACAGCTCTCCAAAAAAGATCTTCAGGGAAAAATAAGCAGAAAACACAGCAAATTTCAATACCCTTAAATCTACCATATCTTTCCTTTGCATAATTCTGTACAACGATTACTGTTTTAAAATATTTTATATCTGTAGTTTAGTTCTCATTGATCACAATCTTCATCCAATTCACTCAATAAACACACCTGTTGCTCTGTTTACACACTGTAACCATTTGGCTCCACACCTACCCCAAAACATATTTTTCTGTCAGCATCTTGTCCATAACAATTTTGGATATTTTAAGTTTGCATTCAGGTGTCTTAAATTCTGAACAGAAACAGTAACTTTTGCAAGGGAAGATGCTTTGATGGCTGTATTTCACTTCATTCTGCTCTGTGAATGAGCCTGTGACCAGAATAGAAGCTGGGGGGGGGGGCGGGGGGGAGGGGGAGGGATGTTGGGTGTTTGGGATGGGAGGATTGTAGCTGTAAGGCTGGAAAAAGCAGGCAGGAAAAAGCAAACAAACAAACAAACAAACAAACAAATAAAAAAAAAAACGGAACATGGTTTCGGGCCAGGGTGGAATTCAGTAGGTTACCACAACGCACTGAGGGGGACATGCTTTGGGGCAGAATTGTTGCTCCTATTGTTTCCCTTCTGCTTCCTCCTCTTAGTCTCTCATATGCAGAAAAACAAAGAAAAAAACAAACGCACCCAACTTATGCTAAATTTATTTGGTTTATATGGTCACATTTTTATGTTTCTGGATTAATAGACAGCCTATATATACTCAGTAGAAGAAAGTGAGGCAGGTATTGGACACTCTCTTATCTACAAGCCATCTCTGCTTCAAAGGAAAAGTTAACAAGGAGACATAAGACAGTTTAAGTATGAGTCGTGCCCATCATTAAGAAAAAGTAAGTGAGCATTTTAGGAGATGTATAACTGGACTGGGAACTCACTAAAGGTTACAAGTTCTCCTGCGCTTTTGGATAATATTCTACATATATAGCTTAAGAGGTGACCTAAGTGACACAAAATATAATTTGATGGATAGAGGTGAGCATACAAGAAGTGTACTCCATGGCTGTAAGTCTCCCATTACAGGAGAAATCATGCATAAATGTCTCTGTTAGCACCACTTTTCTCAGTTTAAAAAACAAAAAAAAAGCAGCCTTCCTTTTATGTCTGGTAAGGGCAAGATCCAAGAAATCCAGGCTTCATAATTCCAATACTATTTCAAAAATATCTTTAGAAATTTTATATGTGCTTCTAGGATAGGGAACTTATTCTCCAAAATGCCTCTGAATAATTGTGAGGAATCACTACGCTGACTTGTACAAGTCCTTCAACCATTTCAGAACCAAATCCAAATTGTGCCTCTACCAGCAGCTCTGTGGCAATGCTGGAGAGCAATTCCCTTAGCTGTTTCATTCTCGGTTTTCATATTACCATACGTACACACACTAAAAATACTTAACATTGTGTATATGCATAACACTGATAATAAAAGACCACATGCAGGCATTTGTAGCTGAATTTCTGAGTGCAAGTACTGACATTTCCTGCTAATAACTTCTTTTATAAAAATTGTTCATCCCAGTTTTTTTTCACTTTTAATCTTCATGTAGTTCAGAAGAAGGATGAAGAATCACCCAACAATTATGTTTCCTAAATGGTAATATGAAATAAATGGGACCCATATAACCTGAAGTATAAAGTGTTTATAAGTGTCCTTGTGGTAGTGATGTTGGCATGAGTGGAGGTATTTTACTTATGTTTGAGCTCAGAATTTTGTCACACATTTTTTTCAGAGCAGGGAAATTAAGCCTCTTCTTTATGAAGCTTGTATACATGAGGCAGTTGCCATTTCGTGAGGCAAAAATCAATACGTACATAGTTAGTTATTTAGGTTTTATACCTCTCCTCTTTTTCTACTGCTTTTGAAATGGCTCCCACTTGCATCATAATATAATGACTAAAAAATTATATTCTTTTTCCCCAAAGTTCTGTTTATAAATAAACACTTCCAACAGTTCTTCAGTTTTGAAGAAAATACATGCCTATCTCACACATCTTGGTTAAAATACGTCATGATCAAAGATTAAGCCCTTGTCATGAAAAAAAGCAGTTCTTGTAAGATGCTTAAGAGGATAAAACTTTTTGTCTGACAGATGTCATAATAGAGAAAAGTAAAACTGTAGGATCTAGGAAAATATTACAGTACTTTATTCTTCCAGTCACTGATGATAAATGCGAGGAAGAAAAGGAAATAATTTTTCTTACATTTATCTTGACACATCAGTTTAGGTGCATACAACACTAAGCACTCAAGTTTTATTTTATTTTTTTTTCAATCTTATCAGGCCTGCATCAAATGGATTTGTCAATGCTTAGTTGAGTTATATTACAAATTACTGTTGCATATTAATGTCTCTTGAGATTTACTTCTGTATGTACAAGCCTCAAGGAGTATTTTCCTTTCAGCATCATTCAACTCATGTCATAAAAATACTACTTTTGCTACACTTCACTATCCACAACTTTTACTGTCTAATACTAAACTGACATTAGTTCTTCACATAAATACAGTAAAGGTACCAAGATTAAAAACAAGGCGAAATAGTGGAACAATCATCACTTGAACACAGCCTTGGAGGATTCTCTGCTCCTTGTAACCATCCCACCACCAGAAGTTTCCATTCTCATCTGTTCACTCCTGTTACCTCCATCAGGATCAGATACTTGAGTTAAGAGATACTACACGCATGGCCCAAAGCATTTTCAAAATATCTCTTAAAAGAGTATTGGATTGAGTAAATTTAAAGAGATGGAAACGAAATGTGTGTTTAGAAAGCAGGAAGACTGTCATGAATTGGCCATTAGACAAGCCCAGGTCAGGCACCCTGCCAGACTTCAGGTATTCAGTTCTGTTTTCTTGACCTGCAAGGGAAAGCTTTAGACATAGACTTACTAAGTCAAATTTCCAATGCACAAAATTCTAGTTACACAAATATTAGCCAAGTCCATGCAGGTTATAATTCTGGTATGGAAAGAGGAAAAAAAAACTTAATTTCCTACACTACATACTTTAAACCTTTCTTAATATATTTTATTTTAAAATTAGAAAAAGAAAAGTTCCTATAATACTAACAAAAGCATATGATTCCAGTGCAATACATTAACAACACTTGTGCCTGACATTTTAAAGCCTAACTTCTGATTTGTCAATCATTCTGTTATACAGAATAAAGTGTGCGCCCTTAACAAGTTTGCTGATGAGTCCAAGCTGTGTGGTTCAATTGATACACTAGAGGGAATGCCATCCAGAGGGACCTTGACACGCTTGTGAGGTGGGCTGATGCCAACCTCATGAAGTTTAACCATGCCATGTGCAAGGTCCTACACCTGGGCTGGAGCAATCCCAGGCACAGTTACAGGTTGGGCAGAGAAGAGATTCAGAGCAGCCCTGGAGAGAAGGACTTGGGGGTGTTCATCAATGAGAAAATGAACATGAGCCAGCTTCAGTGTGCGCTTGCAGCCCAGAAAGCCAACCGTATCCTGAGATGCATCAAAAGGAGCATGACCAGCAGGTCGAAGGAGGTGATCCTGCTCCTCTCTGCTCTCGTCAGACCTCACTTGGAGTATTGTGTGAAGTTCTGGTGTCCTCAACATAAAAAGGCCATGGATCTGTTGGAACAAGTCCAGAGGAGGCCATGAGGATGATCAGGGGACTGGAACACCTCCCATATGAAGATCAGCTGAGAAAGTTGGGGCTGTTCAGCCTGGAGAAAAGAAGGTTGCGTGGAGACCTCATAGCAGCCTTCCAGTATCTGAAGGGGGCCTATAGGGATGCTGGGGAGGGACTCTTCATTAGGGACTGTAGTGACAGGACAAGGGGTAATGGGTTACAACTTAAAGAGGGGAAGTTCAGGTTAGATCTAAGGAAAAAGGTCTTTGCTTCAGGGGTGGTGAAGCACGGGAACGGGTTGCCCAAAAAAGTTGTAAATTCTCCATCCCTGGTGGTATTCAAGGCCAGGTTGGAAAGTCTTGGGTTTTATGTTTTAGTGTGAGGCGTTCTTGCCCGTGGCAGGGGGGTTGTAACTAGATGATCTTAGGGCCCTTTCCAACTCAAACCATTCTATGATTCTATGATTCTCAGTTCCTACAATGGTACCATTGACCTTCCCCTGTTCTGCAGAAAGATGTAAGATGCTTCTTCATCAGACAAAACTTATCCCAAGCGTTCTTCTACACATATAAAGAAACTATGGCATCGTAAGACTTTAGAATTCTCACCAGCCAAATCTTTTGAAGAAAACACTTTTAGGCTGAAGCCAAAAAATTACAAAAATACTAAGTTTTTTCCTATTATAACAATAATCCACACAGAAAGGCCAAAGGGAGAAGAAATATTTTTACTTGATTTACAGACTAGTCACGAGCTCCATGATGGAAGGGGAAAAAAAAGAAAAAACAGGCTCCAAAGAAAAAAAAACAACCCAGACACAAAAAAACAACTTTTAAACTCTTAGAAGTTCTGTCATACCTCACCCTACACTTAACCACTGCCCCAGGCACTCCTGGAGCTGACATTTGCACGAAGGTTTTTTACAGATAGCTCATGTTTGACAACTTACTATAAAGACTACCCAGCACGCATCTGAGAAATTCCTATATTCAGTTCACAGCAAATCACATAGATGCAGAAAAGTAGCTTTTCTTGGGCAAGGCCAAGGAAAACCTGTTCATTCAGAAAGAATCACTACACTTTTTTGCCCTCTGCCCAGCATATTCATAAATTGCATACCAAAACAATTGTCCACCAAAGGAGCTTTTCTCCAGTCAGGTGAAATATTTAGAGCAATTTATTGCAGGAAGGTATACATGACCACAGCAAGAGAGGAAATATGTCTCTAACTCTTTAAACATAACCCAAGATCACATGGCTTATTGGACTACAGAACTCCAGAAATTCCATTCACTGTGCATGAATAATTTTATTTGCGCTTTTGTAGTCCATGACTTAAACACAAGGTGACTTTTCTGCTCACTGAACAGTACCTTTCTTCTCTGTGTTCAGTAGCTACCTGTGTGCAAAAGGATTTCAGAATTACTTTAAGGATAAAGGATGAGAAAAAGTTAGAGAAACTTGCCCCATCAGGGATCACACAGTGGTTACATTTCAGGCTGTTTCACCAGATACATCATTCTATAAAGTGGCTAATACAGCCTACAACAACACAGTCAGCTTCAGCTGAAGATCTATATGACAAATCCACACAGGAGACAACTAGTTACTAGTGTGCTACTTACTTGGTAATCCTATGAAATATGATGCGAGCCAAAGCTCAGACCTCACAAAATGAGCATTTCCAGCAACCATGAAAAATATACTTTTAAGGACCGCTCCACCAGAAATTCTTGCATACTTAAATAGATCTACCAGCAAGCATTAAGGACAGATGTATGCTCTAAAACACACCTATAAAACAGGAGACGCATGGTGTTCATTTTCAGTCTTATTGCCTGCAGCCTTTTAATTCATCTCTCTACAATCATAGAATCACAGAACAGTTAGGGTTCGAAAGGACCTTAAGATCATCTAGTTCCACCCCCCTTGCCATGGGCAGGGATACCTCACACTAAACCATGTCTCCAACCTGGCCTTGAACACTGCCAGGGACGGAGCATTCACAACCTCCCTGGGCAACCTATTCCAGTGCCTCACCACCCTCACAGGAAAGAAATTCCTCCTTATATCCAATCTAAACTTACCCTCTTTAAGTTTTAACTCATTACCCATTGTCCTGTCACTACAATCCCTAATGAAGCGTCCCTCCCCAGCATCCCTATAGCCCCCTTCAGATACTGAAGGCTGCTATGTGGTCTCCACGAAGCCTTCTCTTCCCCCAGATGAACAGCCCCAACTTTCTCAACCTATCTTCATACAGGAGGTGCTCCAGTCCCCTGATCATCCTCATGGACCTCCTCTGGACTTGTCCAACAGTTCCATGTTCTTTTTATGTTGAGGACACCAGAACTTCACACAACACTCTAAGTGAGGTCTCACAAGAGCAGAATAAAGGGGCAGGAACACCTCCTTCGACCTGCTGGTCATGCTCCTTTTGATGTAGCCCAGGATACGGTTGGCTTTCTGGGCTGCAAGTGTTCACTGAAGCCGGCTCATGTTCAGTTCCTCATGGACCAGCACCCCCAGGTCCTTCTCCACAGGGCTGCTCTGAAACTCTTCTTTGCCCAGCCTGCAGCTGTGTCTGGGATTGCTCCAACCCAGGTGTAGGACCTTGCACTCGGCATGGTTAAACTTCATGAGGTTGGCATCAGCCCACCTCACAAGCATTTCAAGGTCCCTCTGGATGGCATTCCTTCCCTCCCGTGTATCAACCGAACCACACAGATTGGTGTCATCGGCAAACTTGCTGAGGGCGCACTCAATCCCACTGTCCATGTCAGCAACAAAGATTTGAAGAAGACCAGTCTTAATGTCAATCACCGAAGGACACCACTCATTACTGGTCTCCAGCTGGACATTGAGCCATTGACCACAACTCTCTGTGGGCGGCCATCCAGCCAGCTCTTTACCCACCGAGTGCTCCATCCATCAAATTGATGTCTTTCCAATTTACAGACAAGAATGTCGTGTGGGACAGTGTCGAACGCTTTGCACAAATCCAGGTAGATGACATCAACTGCTCTACCGCTGTCCATCAGTTCTGCAGCCCCATCATAGAAGGCCACCAAATTGGTTCAGGCAGGATTTCCCCTTAGTGAAGCCACTCTGGCGGTCACCAAGCAACTTGTTGATTTCATGTGCCTTAGCATGCCTTCCAGGAGAATCTGCTCCAAGATTTTGCCAGGCACAGAGGTGAGACTGACTGCTCTGTAATTACCCAGGTCATCCATTTTCCCCTTCTTGAAAATGGGGGCTATATTTCCCTTTTCCCAGTCATCGGGAACTTCACCTGACTGCCATGATTTTTCAAATATGATGGCCAGGTGCTTAGCAGCTTCATTCGCGAGCTCCTTCAGGACCCGCTGATGAATTTCATCAGGACCCATGGACTTGTGCACATTCAGGTTTTTAAGATGGTCTCGAACCAGATCCTCTCCTACAGTGGGCCCAAGGTCTTCATTCTCACAGTCCCTGCATCTGCCTTCCAAGACTTGGGTGGTGTGGTCAGAGCCTTTGCCAGTGAAGACCGAGGCAAAGAAGTCATTCAGAACCTCAGCCTTCTCCAAATCCAGGGAAGCCAGTTCTCCCAATAGCTTCCTGAGGGGGCCTACGTTCTCCCTAGTCTGTTTTTTATTCACTACGTACCTACAGAATCCCTTCCTGTTATCCTTCACATCCCTAACCAAGTTTAATTCTAACTGGGCCCTATCATTCTTAACCTGGTCTCTAGCTTCCCAGACAACATCCCTTTATTCTTCTGAGGCCGCCTGTCCTCGTGTCCACCTTTTATAAGCCTCTTTTTTCATTTGAATTTTCCTGAGCAGCTCCTTATACATCCACAGAGGTCTCCTGGCCCTCCTGCTGCACTTCCTTTTACTTGGGATGCAACATTCCTGAGCTTGTAGCAGGTGATCCTTGAATCAATCAATCGTATGTGTTTGTCTCTTTTAATGTCTTCTCAGTCCTGGGTCAGAAAAACAACGGCTGTACTTGTCCGGGGCAGAGAATACATCACTCAAGAGCATGAATAGCTTTCTTTTTCCTATGAGGCACCTAAAATCATATCATCCACAGACAGGCGACAGGCAAATACAAACAGGTCCAAGCACTCATCAGATTTTGGAAAAAATTAACTAGTTTGTTAAGAATTAGATCATCAGCAACAGTATTTGTAATATAGCCTTTAAGCTATGCCCCAAAACCTGTTGATCCACTACTGAAAGAGCTGAATGGAAGCTGCAGTTGTCTACAGTTCAGGGTAGGAAAAGAAAAAATTGTCTGCCAAAATTTTTAAGATGCCAGAATTTAATAAGAAGAATTATTCTATTTCTGATAAAATTCTTGAAATCATGAATACACAAGGCTGATTGTCTTTAAAAACACCCTAAATAATCCACAAACGTCCCACACTCTTTCACAAATCCCTTTGTCTTGATACACAATTCACCCCTTCAACATGAAACAAGCTTTTTCCATTTTTCAGCAGTTGAATGTATTATTTTTTTCCACCTCTCATTAAGACAGTTCTTTTACATTGCTTCGAAATGCAGCTCTGGTCAACCTTTTATTTTCAGTGATTTATACTTATTTCATTTCCTGATGTGCATTATTCCTGGCACTAACAAGAGTGAGGCAAAGCAGATATGCAATAGCTTTTCTCTTTTCAAATATTGCTAGTGAATAACTGAAGGACTAGATTTCTGATTCTGTAGCTATTTTTTTTAATTGATTTGTATGTTCAGACCCCATGCATAGGGGCTGGTTTTACTTTCTAGGAAACAGACATTAAAAGAGAACACTGACAACACACTTGCTTTATTAATATTGATGGGGCATGTGCATAGTGGCTACATTGTACATGTACAGTTAAACTACATTTTCCACTGAATTCTGTACATCAAAAAACTAGAAATCAAGAACACTTTGTGCTCTTTTAACTTCAGCCAGAGGTACAGCAGCCTCAGAACTCCCAAGCTGCTTCAAATCAGGGCTCAGTGGACTATTAAAAGCCTTTTCAGAAGCTTCTGCTCTCAGCTTGTCTCATAAATTGGCTCAGGACACTCTCCAAGAATTCTTCCACCAGCATGGTAATATTTCATTATCTTGTGTAAGAATTTCCAGTACATCCTTGTCCCAACATGAGCAAGGAGCAAAACAGAACTCAAATACCGTGGACGGAGTGGTGAAGTGTATGAAATGGCCTTCATCAGTGCCACAATCACACCAGACACTTAACCTGGCAGTTCAGGTTTCAGAGCGAGACTTTTGATTTTAAGAACCCAACAATTTCAATTTAGCAAGAGGAAAATGTCTTCATAAAATTAACTAAAATAATAAAATACTGACTATCCAGTGACATGTTTTTCAACATCTTACCTTTAACATCACTGTTTTTTCAAAACAGCCAAAAAATTCCTTTCCTTTCCTCAAAGCAGGCTGTTCCATCTCCTCTGCTGTGCAATGAAAATCTATCATGTAGCTCCTAAAAAATTTTACAGGAAAATATAATTCAAAGAAATTATAGTTTGCAACACTTTCTTACATTCCACATAAAAAAAAAAAAAAAAGATAAGAGATCTACCTCAACGACTAGCTTATGTAAATCAGTATGATTTCCCTGAAATCCAAACAGTGTGAATTTACATTCACAGGCAGGACCACAATCTAATCTGAATTACAACTGCTAACATGCAAAACTAGCTTTCCCTTTAGTTTGAAAGTTACAATTACAAGATCTAATTATTTTTTAATAAATCATTATACAATACAAAGAAGTTTTAATAAAAAGCAAATTTTTGAAACACTGCATACTTTTCTTACAAAGAAGGCTGCAATACTATTATGACAGGGATAATCTTGTTTATTCAGTTACAGAAGTTAAATGCAAACAATATAAACCAACCAACAGAAAAAAATATACTTCTCTTCATAAAGCATACACAAGATTATTTATGATATAAATAAAATCCAGAGAGTAATCTTGGTGAATTATATATATATGATATACATAACGTGAAATGAAAAACATGAATCAACATTTAATAAGCCTTAGATATTTTTTCACAAAACAGCTAATAAACTTTTTCCTCTCCTTCCCTCCACAAAAGCATTAAGCATGAAGTGAGTAAAATATTTTTGGACACTTGGTGGTTAGATCAAAATCTCCTGAAAGGTTCTCTTATGTCTCCTCCATTTCCTGTACTTTACATCCAGGACGTTTACAAAAAACCCAACTTCTGTTGTTTCAGCTGGTAAAAATTTAACAGCGTTGCTGCAAATTCTTTAAAAAATTTGAGAAACTATTCTTTCCTTTAGCATGCCACAGTCATCGACCATCTTTTGTCAAAGTCTCTTGTTTCAAATAATAAATAATAATAACATCATAGAGTCTCCCAATAGTTAATGGTCAAAAGAAATCTGAGTAAATAAGAATCTAGCATAGTTTTTATCATGCTTAATCCTTAGCCTATAATCACTAAGTATCATATTATCTACAAAGTATGATCAATTTGGGCTGAATCCAATAGAAAACATCTCTAGGCTTTTTGACTACAGAAATGGAAAAGCTGGCTCAAAACAGGTCTGTTTTATTCAGAGGAAGGTCATGGTTATAGATACCAAAGTGTAGGCCCTTGTAGCAGACTAAAGCTGGAGAGCAGATCAGGTCAAGAAGGGATAAAATTCACCAAAATTCTGATTCACTGCCATTCAGCGCCAGACCCCACACATAATGTGAAACAACTGTATTATTGCGCCCCCCCAGATTGTGCAGAAAACCAAAGGGATTATTTTACATGCTTCTGTCCTTACATGTTTCTAAATGAAGATCCATGAACTAAATTATTTTGTGAATATTTCAGTGCAAACTCAAAATTTTCAGTTACATCCATTAAATATATTAACAGTTCTCTTCTAAACCCCGAGTCTCAAGACAACCAGCCTCTTTCCTTGGACCACATAGTTGCACCTATTAAATGAGGGTCAGTTATAATGTCTTATCTACAAGCTAGAAAAATCAAAGAAAGCAAAATATAAAATCCTTTTCCAGAAAAGCATTATAGCTAAATAACCCACACCAACAGAAGAATATGCAGTACATTCTCTCTTGGGTAATTTGGGATTTGAAAACAAGTGTTTTCTTACTGTAGTGCTATCTCCAGGTTTTTAAAATAGAACTTGATAACTAGAGCAAAACTTTCTGTGATGAGACAGTAAAATGCAGCAGGCCCTATAACCTATACCCCATAACCCCTATTCGAGTCTCTGGTTCTGTATTTTTATTTATCATCTTTAACTGGTTACCCTAGAAATAGCTTAGAAAAACACTTCTAAGTAAATTCTTTGTCAAGAAAGAAAAACAAACCAACCTCTTACTGTTTAGAAAAGGCTGTGTCTTGGAAATCTGTTATGATTTCACTTATTGATAAAATCAGACAGAGAGTTGTCTTTGCTAAAATACTACAGCCTGTAAAATTTCACTCAACTTCAACTTCATATTTTAAATAGAATTAATTCTAGCAAATAAAAGGCAGCACAAAAAATTTACATGCAAAATAATCAGCAGAAAAATGTACAGAGAGATTACAACAGGTAAGTTGAAATACTTTTATTTTCAATTATACATTTAAAAAAATAGTGGCCTACAAAAATATCCCATACTATTATGAAACAAAGATGACTTAAAACTGAAAGAAAGAAGGATATGTCGACTAAAACTAAGGGGAGCATGTCAGGCTCCCACAGACTACCCAGGTAACTGCAGGAGTTCTTCAGCGAGGGGAAGTTGCATTGGCTGTTGGGGGGTACTACCAAATTCAACCCTTTTAGGAGGCAGCTGAGCAGAGATACTGTAGATCTACCTCAAGATCTGCAGTCAGGCATTGGAATGGCTGCATTTGGGCTGTGACTCAATCAGCTGGCTCTTACAGCCATGACAGGGAAAAAAAACCCAAACCTCAAAGCCACCTTACCCCATACCACCCCTAACCCCCTCACAAAAAAAGAAAATAAAAGAACAACGCAAGAAAAAAACAACTCGGCAGCTTCTTAAATTTAAGTTTGACTGCCAAAATTGTCATCTTCTCCATGTTTAAAGCAGACAGGTCTCAAAATACAACCAAATGGTGCAGTACCTTCTAAACATTGCCAAGTACAAGAAAATGTCTTTCAGACTAAATAAAGTCAGTAATGACAAACACATGAAACAAAACCTTGTACAGTAATATGGTGATTAAATCTGAGTACTGTGCTTAGGTTTCCAGATAGCTTTGGTGCCAGACACAATGTGATTGGCATCCTATGACTGTAGGCTTTGAAAATTGTTTCCTTTGAAGAGGATTTCTATTCTTTATTGACCAAAAAATATTATTCCTTTTTATTTTCCTGCTTCTAATGCAGTGGACTATCTCTGCCAGAGCACTGCATGACCAAGTACTTGCAGTTACATACTTTTTTTTGTACGAGGAGTTTTAGAACATATCATATATTTCAAAATACATAACTCCTTCAAGGCATTTTGCAAGATGGCTGTCCAAATTATCAAACAATGGATCATTATTAAGAAGTGGCAAAAATAAGCTTGAAGTTATTCTAAGATGAGAACATTGAACTCTGACAGGTTTGGGTTTGTTGGTTTGCAGTATCTTTATTGGCATTTAGATAATAAATCTTTTAAAAATATTTTCCCAGGAGTTAAGAAGCTAAACTCTAACTTCTTTGTTTCTTTGTAGTCTATTAATATGACCCAGAAGTTCCAGACCGAAATAACTCTTAATAGCCTTTACCTGAGGATAATAGCAATTGAACATAACTTGAACTTCCCAAGTTTCTGCCATTTTTTTCCAAAATGCTTGGAAGTTTATATTATAAGACACACTGAATTCCATAGAGTGGTTCCAAGAGAATTTAAAATTAAAATACAAAAGGGATCTTTGCTAAAAAAAAAAAAAAACAAAAAAAAAACGCACAAAAAAAAACCAAAGCAAACCAAACCAAAACACCAAAAAAGCTATAAGAAAAGGCAAAATCCATCTTTTTCAGTTCAGGCATTTTCAGCATTTTCTATGCATAGGAACCCTGAGAAGCATTAGAAAGGTCACACACATCCCAACAGAGAAAAAAATCACTGTATGTCTCTTCAAAAGGATATTGTCTTTTTCCTTAGCAGCACTCTATGCCTATGTCCATCAACACGATAGAAGTCAAATACTCAGTATGTGCCATTGTTTAAGCAATGGCAGAAGAAAGAATGGTAATCGAAAAAAAAAGAACTGTATTAAAAGAAGTTGATAGAAAAATATTACACTTTTGAAGATGAGAATAGAAAATATGAAACGTATTAATTATTTAGGTAAATGAACAGTTACTAAAAAGACACAAAATATTAATTCATTCTAGTTATATTTCTATTCTTTCAGCAATTTTATTTTTAGGCTACAGGATTGTTCTTAGTGTGACACAAAGACTTACTTGCTGTAAATAACACAATACGGAATGAACCATCCAAAACTACACTACGCAGCTCTGAAATACAGACTTTGAGTGTGGCAGAGAAAGCTTCCTCAACTTTTGTTCTGCAGTCTCTTAACTTTGTGTTGTCTTTTTTTCCTTTGTGTGTCAATATATGACAGTGTGTGCGTATATAGATAAATTCATTGACTCATAATGACTAAGCAGAACTCTTTACAACCTGTACACATTTAACAGGCACAGTCTAGACTAGAAAATCTTGAACTGTATTTTATAAATACATTAACATACAACTTCTTCATTAAAGATGAAACCATTTATGACAAGGCCAAGCAAAATCTGTGCAAGTCTGTCAGGTGACACTATTTGAGAAATAATGTAGCAAAAACGCCCTTGAGCTACTGCAGAGAAAAACTATAAATGGTCTCTACTGTGAGATTCCGGATCTGCAGAAATCTTAAATGCTGCAAGGGCTATAATCATGATTAAATTAAAAGTATACTGTTTGACAAGTGCTGCTGCAGCAATTGTCCCATTTGATGCTATACTATGCATTTACAAATTATGCAACAGGCTGTTTAGTATGCATATATGCTTGGAAAAATGCCCAAATCAGCAAGACCAAATGTTCTGCTTGTGTAAATTGGTGTAACTTCATAAATCTCTATTTGAACATATCACTACAATCCTTTTTTGTTTCCTCAGCAAATTAGCTTAAAACATACATGCTTCAAAGGATGTGGATGACTTGTTTGGTTCTTAGCAAGAGGGAACAATATGCAGTCCCTTGGCTGTAAAAATGAGTGATATAGCATATGCATGTGTGAAGCAGTTCTCCACAAAAGAGGCTCTTTATTTTGTGATGATTAAATGATTAATGGTCACAGAACTGTGATACAGATCACTAACAGTGATCTGGGACATGTTTTAAATCAGTAAGAAAGTTGTTCACACTTTTAGCACCATAGTGTAAATCAGGGCTGTTTTTCAAAAGCTCTTTTCTGAGCTTGAGTGCATCAGCTCAGTCTCTGGGACTGGCTAGGCTCCTAAGAGCAGAACTGCACAATTTAAATCGATACAAGAAGGGTTGCAGCCTTCTTGTGGCAGATTTTCATTCCATAATATAACAGAAATAACTACAGGTTTCAGCAGATATTATGCACCATTTCCTTTAACCTTACAACAATTCCCCAGAATTGTGGTAAAATTTGCACAACAAATGGATGGCTAATACTAATATACTTTAAGAGTTTCCCTTTACTATTACTTCTTTAATGCAACCTGCTTATGAATTAATGCAAGGTTCAAATTATTAATAATCTCCAGATATTACCTGATAATTTCTTCTCTTCTGCTTAAAAATAAAGTCAATTTATAATTTCAGTATGGAAATTGGCAAAAAATGATCCAAGAACAAATTTTCAGCAGGTTTTTAAATTTTAACAACAAACTTTCTAATGGGGTGAAGAGACACAAACTTGGTCAGCCACCTCATCAGGCTCTCAGTTCTACAATGCCAGCTTTAATTTTGTGAGTTTTCAAAATTATTAATGCAAGGTAAGACTCTACAGTGATTTCACATGGCAACCCATCTGTAGGCTGAAAGACAAACCCAGTTTGGCAAGCCTTGACTCCTTGTGTTCTCCAGCCTTCGCTGAGGCATGTGCAGCAGAAAACACAGGCACAGGAATGAATGCTGTGAGTGCAGACTCCCAGATTGAGAAGAATGCAAGAAAGAGGTAGAGCTCTTCATTTTACTCAGCATCCTTCTGCACCTGAATCTTGAAAGGGAAATGACAGAGTCCAGGATAACCTGAAACGCATAAAAATAAAAAACAATAAAAAAAAAACCAAAACACTACTTCATCAGCAGCATCATGTTCTGTTGCTCATGATTTATCTGGTCTGTAGGTTAGATGGCAGGTCTGGAAATCTATCTGACTGCCACGTTTCTGTGCAACACTACAGAATAGGGCAGCATGTAGTGATAGTCTTGCTTTTTACCCCAGCTACAGAGTTTTTGGCTTTATGACCAAAATGTAGTTTTGCTTCTCTAGCACCGGCTGCTAGCAAAGGCCAGTTATTACCTTTATATCTCCCAGCACAGAACAAGAGGGACTTCTCCTACTATAAAAGAAGCCACAGAACAATTATCTCAGTCTCTGACTACATTAATAACCTACCACTTAGCTTTGCTCCGAGGAATATAATTTTTTATTGCCTATAGTTTGGAAAGTTCTTTGGATTTAAAGTAAGTGATTATGAAGTTAGACAAGCAGGTTTCTATCTGGCTCAGATGTATAAATGTTCTTAACCAGACTGCTGGTTTTGGGTTATAGCTGATTTACCCCCTCTCTTTATATCCTTGTGGCCAGCTTTGCAAAGGTTGCTTTTTAGTTTGAAGTGTCCATCCGATTGCAGATGGTAAAAGCACTTTTCTTACAGTACCTTTTCATGTCCTCTGCTGTTTTTGAGCTAAGAAATACAAAACAAAGGACAAGCCCTTCTGTTGACTAAATAGCTGGAATTTAACTAGTAGGAAGTTTGCACATCTGTTTCTTTGTCTTCATTGTTGCTGCTTGTACTATTGCAGAGATTATGCACTGTACAAGTCACATTGTAGCTCCTAATATTAACTGCCTGATTTCCCACATTTGTTGTTTGGGTTTTTTTCCTCTGGAAGCAAGACATACAAAAGATTTCTCCTTCCCCTCAACTTTTGAAAGCAATTAAAACAAAATTATTTAAAAAAAATCACTAACTGTCAAGAAGTGTTCAAAATAGATCTTTTATTTTTATGGCCTTCTTGCTTTGATTTGGAACAGGACCAATTGGCTTTTGGAAGACACTTCTGCCAACATTTCAATGCACTGAGAACAGTAAAACAAGAAAACTTCTAACGGTTCATGGTATGGCTTTAACAAGCAAGAAGAATTTCTAAAGGTGCATTCTTACGCTAGGTATTTTTTGGATTTAAGTCAAACGTCATGTTACTAGAATCTAAAAGATAGATGGAGGTTTGCTAATATCATTCTTCCCCATTATTCAAGATAAATGTTGATGCAGACCAGAAACAAGAAAGAAAAGAGAACAGAAGGGGGAAAAAATAATCACTTGTTCCCTATTTCTTAATAGTCTGGATAAGACGGATTTGTATGTTTTGGCTTTCAGTAGCGGAAATAGAATTGCTATATAAATGTCAGTTTAAAAGGAAAGATCTGACAACTCACTCTCAACCCCCACCACTTAATTCTGATTATTGCCAGACAGAGTGCTGACTCCTTCCAAATACCCCTTTCAGAATGGTTTCATTGTAAAAGGGGGAAAGGGGCTCACTTTTCCAGTGGAAAGCTGTTATCTTGCAACAGCTGTTTATAGTTAACTACAGCCATACTTAAAGCCTTTCAAGTCTGCTTCTTGTTTAGTCTTGTATGTATGGAAAAGGCTTTTTGGGAGATTAACCCACTGTGGTCTTTTAGGACAGCACTAGGCAATTGAATCGAGCTCAAAGAGACTTCACATTTGACATGGCACAGTGCTCTAGCCAAACCTTGTGAATAAAACCTCTTGCATTCTGTTTGTTTTACTCAGCAGTTAAAATTAATGAAAGGTTAAAATTTCCAGACCTAAGTCAGCAGAAGCTATCCAAAACCATTTACAGAGGCCTAAAAAAAAAAAAAAAAAAATAAAAATGTACAGCATACAGCACTTTGATACAGAGGAAGAAAAAAAATAAAGGTAGTGAGGGTGGGTTCTTTGGGTAAGTTTGTCTTTCCCTTCCAGTAAAATAAAAGGCTGCCTTTTCAGGTTTTCATTCCTTTTGATCTCAAACTATTCCTTGCAGACAAATAACAATAGTTGTTTAGGATTCTCTCTGAAAAGCGGAAGAAAATTTTTTGCCAGCAGTACTTCACTCCTGTTGTTTCTTACAAATCTCAACAGAGAATAATATCACAAGTCAAACTACTCCACACCATTTGGCTGAATTGTAAGAACACACAGAAGGAGGCTGTGAAGGCTTACTGTAATTAAAATGTGCTGCTATTAATGGGGCAAAGCAGAGAACTGGGAAAGAAGAAATGCTCACTTGCACAGTGCTGTATCTGCTAGGAAGCTATAGTCTGAACACTTCAATACCAACTAATTGCCACTAACAAGGTGTCTGCTTTTCAACAGTTAAGGCACCTGGTTTTTTAGTGACCCTAATTCAAGGTTAGAAGACCCAGTATTCCTTACAGCATTTTACGCAAGTGCAAGTTGCTCTGTGAAATATTCAGCATGACTAACTTCACCCTCTATCACTTATGGCAACTCTTAAGAAGATACATGACACTTCATGACTCTGCTTCCAGCATAAACTCTACAACTATATGCAGATGGGAAGGAGCAAGAGGTATAGCATGATTTAGCTGCTCCTGTGCCATCTCATTCCATATTCATTAGTTACACTTTTCAAATGATGTATTTTTATCAAGGAGACCTTGTATGGCACAATATGCTTAAGAATTTAGGCACACTCCTGTTACTGTAATAATTTACAAATTATTTTGAGCATGCAATTGAAAACAAACAGCAAGTCACATTTCTTAAGCTTGCAGACTTTTGCTATGACAAATAAGGAAAAATGATTAGGTCTAGCAGGTTTTTCAAATTCTTCAATTATAGTATTCAACTGATTTTTAACTATCTTCAGTACTCACTTCCATAATCTCCACTACAGTTTTCAGGCAAAGTGACATAGATCTTTTTTATATTAGAACAAGTAATCAGTTTATAATTGCTTCCTTTGCTCTACTGTAGCAGAACACTGTAATACAGGTAGCTAGATTCACTAGCCAAAACTGAGTTTAGTTTTTGGTTCAAAATTCTTGGGCAGTATTGCATTGCTTATTCTTGCTAAGAATTACTTAATCATAGAATCATAGGCTCATAGAATCATAGAATAGTTAGGGTTGGAAAGGACCTTAAGATCATCAAGTTCCAACCCCCCTGCCATAGGCAGGGACACCTCGCTCTAAACCATATCACCCAAGGCTTCGTCCAGCCTGGCCTTGAATACTGCCAGGGATGGAGCATTCACAACCTCCCTGGGAAACCTATTCCAGTGCCTCACCACCCTAACAGGAACGAATTTCCTCCTTATATCCAATCTAAACTTTCCCTGTTTAAGTTTTAACCCACTACCCATTGTCCTGTCACTACAATCCCTAATGAAGCG